AGCAGATAGATGAAAGATGATACCAATTCAGTATATACATCATGAAGATATATATTAGACACCAGTTTGACACCAAGCACGTTGGGCTGCTCGTTGATGCACTACCCTTTGAAGAATTGTAGGACTTACAGCAGTACGCCTACAAACCTTCTCAGGTTGAAGCCCTAGGTTGGAAAATCTTCGCAGAGTTCATTTGCTGATTCCCTTCTGTCATCTATATCCTCAAATCTGAACAGTGACTCACCCATGTCACTGTATCGTAGAATTTAGATGACTAACAAACATACGAAGTATCTGATCAACCAAGCGTAGGCACAGAGTAATTTACACCAAAGATATTAACATTCAAATAGTAACTTGAAAAGCCGTTACTCGTGCAAGTCAGTTTAACAATTGACCTCTCGTACACACTTGGCTTATCCTCACTAAACTGACCATTGACTTTCGTCCTTTCAAACGGGCTGATACTAGCATAATCATAGCACAAGACACTTGAGTTGATGGACGTCTTTTTCATTGTGGATGACAACACCAACGACGACTGAGTGACACAAGTTGATGAACTTAGCGGTGCATCAAAAGCTGTCGCTGTTAAACCTTTAGAAGTTTGTCTGACCGTAGGATTACCACTACTGCTACCTTTTATGATTAGCAACTGTTCAGCCTTAACACCTGTTGATAGGTGGACTGCACATGGATCATTTACACTGACTGTCTCACGAGTATCCATACCTTCTACCACCACATCTGCCTTTTAGTCTACCTCACGTCCAAGCTGTACAGAACCTTTGTTCAACTCAATAGTAGTAGACATTCCCTTCATCTCATCATGATCAACCATAGACAAAAGTGTACTATCATAATCATCATCACAAATACTCAATTTACCGTCGTCTATCTGGTCGACTTCATCACTTTCAAACTCTTTAATAACAGCAGTAGATGATTTGGGTTGTTCCCTACAAATCCTTACAGGTTCTGTACCTTCACTCTGACTAGTAATACCTTGTAAACTTGTGGAGTCAGAACTGGACTCTGAAAATGTAACTCCCTTCTTTTGCACAAACTGTGACGTTTGTGACACTCTATTCAAGAATGGGTTACTGGTTGCAACTACGGGCTTCTTCACTGACCCATTATCGTCACACAATTCGTAGTCCGAACTTGATGATGCTGATTTCACATTTAGCTTACCACTAAGCTTGCTCACTGATTCACAGTTCGCCTTCGTGTGCGCTTCTTGCAATCGTGTAAAACACAACCGCGTTTTTCTCGCAACTTGTAACCTATCTGTTGGGGATGTTTCACGAAAACTGTTACGCTCACTAAGTTTTTATGGATTACTAGACACCATAGAGCTTTCTCGATATCCACTTCTCTGAGAACCTTTCCTCATAAATGATTGCGTTTTGCTCTCAGACTGCTCTATTCTAGGGGTGAGATGCAATATACTGGCAAACTTGCTCATAGCTTGATTGACACTTTCTTTTACTAGTTTAAGAATATCATCGAACTTTGGCTCGATACCTTCATCCTCTATACGAGAGCTTATCTTCACCCACTTCCTTTGCAGTCGGGAAGGTAGGCGTCTCGCTATTACCTCTAGGACGGAACTTGAGTTCAGATCACTCATGTGATTCGTCGAAATCAACGTATACTTGTAAGTCATCTTATTTTGTAAAAACTCAGTGAGTGCCTTGGAGTCATCTTGTAACTGACTACCATTACACTCAACAGCCTCGAATAATTTCCCTACAATCATCGAAGGTGTTCCGAGTCTTTGTTGCAGTATACTCATAGCCTCAGAGTATCCTTCGTTAGAGGGCATGAACTTACAGCGCTGTATAGCTCTTGAAGCAACTCCAGTGCAATACTTCAACAAATACACAAACTTCATTATATCATTTAATAAAAAATTACTCAACGTCACTTCAAACTCCTTCACAAACTGTGGATAGTCAGCTGGGTTTCCGTCAAAGTACCGAGGCTCACATTCATCTAAATGTACACCCTTAGTATCCCTAAACGGCGAAACATGAACAACAGACTCATCATGCTGAGCATCTTACATATCATTGCAATTAACAAGCAACTCAGCATTACTTACTTTCCTGCATACTTCCGGGTGCTTCGTCCCTTCTTTGACCTAGACATCATTGAACCTCGCCAAAAATTTCAAAAAAGTTCCAGATAATACTTCTCCAAAGAAGACTGTCAGGCACCAGGAAAGACGAACGGAAACTATCCAAACACCATCAGAAACTGTCAGCCAAGTCTCATAAACTGTCAGTGTCCAGCTCTTACTACGCTGGACCTCACGCTGTCTCTCGAAGACTTTCAGAAACAATTTGTATTAACCAACGCATAAACCAGAACACTGATTGGCGACTCGAGAATCCTTTATTCTTACGCCAACATGTAACCAACAATAAGGTTATTACACACAAGGTCTAAGAATGAGTGTTGTAACAATAAATCACGATAATACTTCTGATAGTTTTCCGTCTTCCACTGAACAGCGAACGATGAGACGATGACTGATTGATGGATGTCTCCCGCGAAAAATATGGAGGAGTTGGGTTTGAGCAAATAACCATGAATTGATCGTCCAATCTTCAACTACATTGACACTCGCTGTTTGTTTTTTGCATGATACTGACTTCAGCCCCGTGTCAAACAAAATGTAGGTGACTGGCCGGGCAACTTTTCTTACTAGCGGCTCCTTGGGAATAGGTAAATCGTCTCCCCATCGCCTGCACGGCAATTTAGGCCAGGTGCATGTTTGTGTGAATTCTGTTGAGCGTCAGCCAAACTGCTAGTGATACCAACAGAATTGGCTTCCGGATCTAGTTTACTCGCTCTTCGGTGTACCTTTGGCCAAGAATGTGTTCTACTGATTGACCTGCCTTGTCAGCCCTGTGTATGCCGCCAGTGATCCGAAGTCACTTATTAATTTTGAAATTGTTGGGTCCTTGTTCACACTTATTTGATGTGCCTGCCCTTCTTAAAGTCGTCTCCCTTCCAGTATTTGGTCAGCGATGCGCGCTTACTGTTCACTGGATGACTGGGTGTCCTGAACGTACGTTGTCCGTTTTAGATACACTGTGAGGGCTTACATCCAACCTTGGCTAGGTACGGCGTCTCCTACTGTTATGTCCTCCACTAGCTGTTGATGGTGGCTCATAAACTGTGATAGAGTATCTACTTCCCATAATCTTCCCTTGAAGCACACGTTGTGGGCTCTGGTTTTCTGACAAATAGAGGCATATAGCCACCTTGCACGAAACCACTGTGTATGGTTGCCCGTTTGAGGGGGGTGGGTGAAGTGAAGATGATGCAGCTCCTAGGTAAAACTACACGGTAACTGGAAACAAATGCCTGACACATGGTGGTTTCAGTCTCTTTATTGTACACGGTCAAAGTGGAGCTCTGGTTGGGTAAACCATAGTTCCAGGTCATATTGATCAAATGCAGGTGGTCCCACTTCAGAGATTACAAAACGGTCCATCTCCACAACAGCATATTTTTAAATTTAGTTTCCATGATTGTTCGATGAGACACTATAATGAATAAAAATGCTGAACTAAATAAACGTACCATAGAGATAAATCCGAAAAACAACCAAAGACAAAAGAAACACATGGAGTATAATCAAATATATTGAAATAGAATGTGAAATGTGAACAAGAAGTGGCTTCACCGATGTAGAAACCTACTTTTCTATCAAAATAATTGTTCAGATTACCTACCGACCGCTTGTTATATTGCAAGTGAAGTGGAGAATAGCTATTCAAACACATAGAAGGGTATTCAGCACGCATAATTCTTACTTGGTCACTCTTTCCATCTTACTGAATTCCCCAGTGACTTACTATATCTGGGTGGCCATAACATACCTTGTTGTCGAGAACCTACAGGCCAAATAAATATTTCCATCAATACCTCCAACTATAGTGAATCTACCGCTACGACTTCGTGGTATTTGCCAGAAGGATCGAGCAGCAACCTGGTATTAGCGAATTGAATATAGACACTACTTATAATATAGAGTCATTATGCCACGTATAACCACAGAATGCTGAGTCATACTTGAAGCTAACTAACGGAAAAAATATTTCAAGTAATATTTCGAATTTTAAATTGACATAATTCTTATAGTCTCTATATCTATTCTAAACATAATACCGACGTTCTGAGCACTCATACTGCTGTATTCACCCTATTATTCTTACTACTGCGTTCTGGTGTCATTCTAATACGCTTGACAAAGATAAGCATTTATAAGTATGCACACGTTCTGTGTAACATGAACGGTGGGAAGGGAAGATGAGTAGTGATTTGAAATACTTGATCCCTAAATCATGGAACCGACTCGTAGAAAAAGTGTACATGGCTTCGATAGCCTTGTTATAGAAGTTAGTAGGAAATCATATGTTCTAAACAGTAATGGATTATGCTAATCAACAACCACAATTAAAATTTTTGAATCAAGACAATAGAAAGAAGTAAGGGTCGCAGGACTGATGGAATTCTAGAGCTAGGGTTTCATGTTACTTCTAAATATCTCGCTATTCAAAAGTAAACTATGAACGATTAAAACTTTTAAGCAATCTATACAAAGTATAGCGAGAGACTAGATGTTATGTTCTCACTTTTCTACAATAGCTCAGTGCTAAATAGTGAAAAGACTGAAACTGAAGCACAGCAGCACGACACTAATAATGTCGCATACAGCTAATCACACATAACCAACCATCCATATCACTCCTCACGGAGTGAATCAAAACTAAGATAGGTGAGTGATGTGGTTAACTACACAGAAACTTGCCTAAAATAAAGAGCCCCCACCTTAAAACCAGGAATCTAGTCCTGAGCGATTAATGTAGAGTTCGCCAGCTCACAAAAAGGTTATTGGATATTGAATTTGTTTCTCCACACCAATTGTCAAGCCAAGTTATAAGTGTTACAATCGATCGACGTCGATTTGACTTATTTTTGTGATGAATATATTTAGGTTTTTTGGAGATGCGTCACATTTTGTCGCTATTATAATTCTACTTTTAAAAATTTGGAAGACAAGGTCGTGTGCAGGTGAATCTCAAGCCAAGCAATAACAATTGACTTCATTTCAGGATTATCAGGACGTAGTCAAATTGCGTTCGCTCTGGTATTCACCACTCGTTATGTTGACCTTCTCACCACCTATGTCTCATTGTATAATTCTTTTGCTAAGATAGTTTTTATAGTTTCATCCTACGCAACTTTGTACTTAATCTATTTCAAATTTAAGCCTACATATGATGGTAACCATGATACCTTTCGACTGGAGTTCCTACTTATCCCATGTGCTTTGTTAGCACTTATTGTCAACCATCGGTTTCAATTCATAGAGGCATGTTCTTGTTTTTTAAAGACATAATACCCTATTTTAAAGTTGTTGTGGACTTTCTCTATATATTTAGAGTCCGTGGCTATACTACCGCAACTGTTTCTCATAAGCAAAACTGGCGAGGCTGAAACCATCACATCACACTACTTATTTGCACTTGGCACATATCGTGGTTTGTATATCTTGAACTGGGTATACCGGTATTATGTACAGAGTCATTATGACCTGATAGCAATTGTCGCTGGTGTGCTGCAGACACTCTTGTACTGTGATTTCTTCTACTTGTATATAACTCGAGGTAAGTAATTGTTTTTGTTGGACTAATAATTCCTTTATTAGTAATTAAAGGGAAAGCCTTCGCTCTGCCAGCATAATTATTGCATTATTGCACGAGCTCCCTCAAGAGAAGTATGCAACTGTAATTTTTTTCAAACTTTTTTCTAAAGAATTATTGCAAACTCAAAAGTTCTAGACATTTTGTAATCGTATGAAAGTGGAGGACGACTAACGTATGTATTTTATCAACACCAAAGTAACTGGACATGCCTCTCATAACTCAAAATGTTGTCTGCTTTTTTTAATACTAAGACCAACTTTACCACTTTCCATTCAAATGCTTACAAGCCCGCTATTCTGCATTTTAATTGCAACTCTTCGTTTTGTATTGTTAAATTGACTTAATCCCAACACCCGTGTTTTACCAGCACTCACGTATGATTAGTGGATACATGTGTTACTGAGTTTTCCTTTTTCATCTTTACGTTGGTGTACGGCTAGAGAAGATTTATCTTGATCTGCTCCTACAGTAAAATTCTTATTTTGTCACCAAAGACTTCTTGCTGCTATTTTGAAGGTAAGACTGGTTGTTAGGAGTACTTAAATTCCGCGCAGCGGAATAAAACTGAAATTACAACGCTGGAAGATATGTCGCAGGCTTGTTTTTTTTTGTAGTAGTAGTAGTACTGAGCAACAATGACTTGTTTTTATAGGGATCAACTTGTCTACTTACTATTGTAGATAGTGAGTCAGTATTTCATTTTGTACCGTCTAGTTCGGTTTTTCAAAATGAAAAAAGTTGTTATCCATAAATTTGTTGGTCTATTACCTGTTACGTTTTTTTTCCCAACTAAAAACACCAAAGTAGTCCATTTTTCTAGTACTTCACGACCCCAAGGCCAATCTGCATAGTTCAAAGCAGTATGTTTGATTTTCATTTTTCTTCATGGGGCTCTAAACGAATCAATCATGTTTTCAATCCTATCCACTGATGATGCTCTGTTAACTTGATTTTCTAACTCTAAAATAGCTACTTTTGTTTACATCTTTAATTTTCTGAGAAAGAAAAGTTCAGAAAAACACTAGATATGAGAATACATGGGCAATATAATACTTTAGAATTGGTATTCTATAATGCATGGCACATGTTATGACAGGTTAGTAGACATGTGAAAATTATATTTGTAAAATCCCAGCGAAATTGAAATACGAGTACTTCCAGCCTTTTCTGTGTTCAGCAGAACTGCTTCGGACTTCAGGGAAATTAATCAAAATTAAAATAAAAAAGGTATTTATGTATGTAAAAGGACATCTTTTATCTTTAAAAACCACCTTGTCCAATCATATGAGTCATGAAACAAGTATAAAAATACACAACAGATAAAACTGTATGAACTGTCAACAAAATTTGACCACAGACCTACAAATATTAGTCTGCTTTTGGTAGACAGTGTGTTCTCTTACATCAGACTTTTGATGATTACGTTCGGCTAAAGTCCATGATTATAGATAACTCAATATGAAAAATATGTACGTATATGCGATATACAAGGGTATGTGTATGTGTGCATAGGGCAAATATTGGAAATCATTTGTTAAACTCTATGAGAATATATGAACAAATGGGAATGCAGATTAATTATGATAAATTACTGATACACATCCCTATTTATTTATGAATCTGGACTTGTCATGTATCACTTAACTAGATCATACGTTCACGCCCGTGAAAGTCTTCGGGATTCACCTATAAATGTAAGGCTCCTGCAGTCATTCTTTATACGAACCAAAACCTTTCTATAGAACTTAATCGTTGTATCATCTAAGTCGTTTCTATCGAGTGTAATGCAATCTTCGATCTGTAGTAGCACAAGGTAAAAGAAGAGAGTAAGGGAAGTTTAAAAGATAGACAACAAACAGAAATGTGAGGGAAAAACAGTAGTTTTGTTGGATATGATAAATCACAGAGTGAATGCATCTCTGCCAACATCGAACCATATCACCGATTGTCTCCAGGCATTGGTTCTCACCATCCCGTTAAGTCCATTGATACATCTTTAATGAAACTAAATAGATACGGGGACAGTGGGCATCCCTGACAGACAACACTGGTTGTCATCACTTCGGATGACATTTCTCCGTATGCCCTTACGTGGCAGCACGAGTTCTTTGATCTGTGAGATCTATCTTCTCAGCATTCCCTTCACAGCTAAACATCGGCATAGTACCTCTCTGTTGATGGAGTCGGATGCCACCTTCAGGTCAAGAAATATGCTGGACGCCGGTAAGTATGCGTATGTTCCGCTCCGTAATCCGTCGAAGGGTGAAGATAGGGTCTAAAGCTCTCCTGGTTCTCTCGTGTTTGTTTCTCCCTCGAGCAGCACCACTGAGTCTACGCGTGGTTACTTAGCCTATGACTTTAGATACCATATTGGTCAAGCTTATCCCCCTTTGATAATCACAGGATAATAAACGAATTACACCAGCCCGACGGGATTATCTCTAATTCCCAGAGGCTGCCTATCACCTTAGTTAACGCAGAGAGTAAACTATCTCTACCGTACTTAAACACCTCTCTAGCCATTGCACCAGGCTCCACTGCATCGTTTCAGATTAGTGACAGATTTCGTAACCTCAGGGATGAATGGACGGCGTTTATTTATATCCCATGCTCACTAAGTTGATCGTGGCTGTAGGCCAGTTAAATTGCTCCTCAAAGTGTTTTTTCCAACGTTCCAGTCGTCTATCTTGAGAGCTAGTTATGGAGCCATTTTTCTTGGGGATTGTTTCACTTATCACTTGTCTCTTATCACCTGTTTCCCCGATAAGTCAAATATTTGTTTGGTGTTACCTATCGCTGCTGTCTTTTTCATTTCCTTCGCTTTTCTCTCCCACCACTGAGGTCGGTTGGGGCGTAAGCGGAGATTATAAAAGGACAACGACAGGAAATGATGTCCTTCCTCCTGATGGACCCGTTCAGACGAATCGCACACACGACTATCTACTGGGATCCAGTCGAGGAGGGATTTTCCTGCCCTAACACTCAATACTATTCCTACACCTACGAGTCCTCGCAAACTAGCTGTGAAACCTCCTGACACTCCTAAGGTGAATTTTGCAGATTTATCTTGTAGGCCGGGTGGTGTTAAGAAAATAACCACACTCGGGTCTTGTTTGCGTGTCTCCGAAACACAACATACATCAATGGCTCGAGATGCCAGAATTCTGATTAGTGAAGCCTGTTGTCTGACGTTAAATGCTCCAATATAAAGTTGGTGGCTCGGCTTTGAAAGACTATTGGGAGTGTTTCTCTGGCTCTCATCGCTATTCGTGATAGGGGTGAAGAAGGATGGTGATCAGGAGGGGCTCGTGTGCTTTTGGAAGTGTGTGGGTGATTGTTATTTCCCGGCTACCCTATCGTAGAAGTTGATTTCTCCTTGGGGTACCTGAAACAGAAAGAGAATAAGCGTTGCGTGATCGCAGAGCCCAGGGGACAACTGCTTGAGGCCGGTCACACTTGACTTGTCTAAACTGGCTTTTTGGTTTGGTCCCGTATTAGAAACTTACCGCCGGCTATGGACCATCTTAGGGTGAGTCAGAATGTACAATTTTTGGGGTCGACCTTCTCTAACTTGTCTCTCCATTCTGGAGAGACAGCATAGTTGACATGCTGGTCATTTAAGGGAAACACCTTAGTGCCGTTACATCCCTGTCTCATGGCAGTACAACTCTGTCTACAGATACCTAGCATAACGTAAAAAATCTTACACAATGCCGAAAACTGCATTTAGTCTAATCCCTCTCCTAACAACCTTCTTGGCATGGTAGGACCTGCAGGAACATTGCAATATCCAAGCCCAACCACCACGTCAAGTTAGCAGCTGTCGGTCAGGCCTCATATATATGCCTCTATTTTAATTTCGATTAGTTACCCTGAAGAAGTCTGGACCAGTTTGCCGAGCGCAGGCAATGTTGGAATTACTTATTTCAATTTCGTTGAGACTATACAAATGTATAATTTGGATATATGTCTAATTCTTATTCGACGCCAATTATTTTGGAACTATTCGGTCAAACATTGATCACAGTTCATATGGACAAGACGGGTAGGTTGTGTAACCTAGAATCTGTCCTATTGCCATTGACTAACGATCTTTATTAGAAAAGCATTAACCATCCTAAGATTGACAAAGAAGAGATAGGCAAAAAGTGTAGGACATTTAATTCATCTGAGTAGACGTGGAAGGTTGTAGTATTTAGGTTTATAATGCCGAACAACTCTGAATAAATGCTTGTATCATAAAACTCTCTCTCTCTCTCTCTCTCTCTCTCTATATATATATATATATATATACATATATATATATATATGCATGATGTAGTGATCCTAAATTGTGTTGTAACTGAACATCATCAGGTGGACCAAGTATTAAGTTTAGACCTATTGCCATTACTTCATCCTTTGTAAAAATAGTGGAAAAGCTGCTTCTGCGTAGCCTTGGATCTTCATTGAAGGCTGCTTTTAGTGATCCTAATTCATTTGCTTATAAATGTAGTGTGTGTACTTTAGATGGCACTGTTGTCTTACATCATAGTACTGTCCCTAACTTATCAAGTGTGTCAAATATGTTCGGTGTGCCTTCCTATATTACACAAGGGTCTTTGACTCTGTAACTGAGCCTCTTTTGTTTTAAACAAAGCAGAGTGTTGGAATAATAAGTGTTTGTATTCGTATTTTCCGGACGGGAGGCAGCACATTATTTTCAGTGGGAAGCCCTTCACTGTTTCACTCACTCTAGTTGGTGTTCCTCACACAAAGTTCGGTTCTTTCTCTTCTTTTTTCTTTCTTCTTTCTTGACTTACCTACTCCATTCTAACACCAATTTTGTCATGTGTGCCAATGGTATGACTTTTTATGCCTTTCTTCTCAGTCACATTGTTCCAAAATGAAAAACGTTTTATCAGAAATTAGTTATTGGTTAGCTACGTGTGTTCTACTAGGAAGTCATGACCAGTAGTGGAATCACTGCAACAGCTTGTGTATGAGGACAAATGCTCGCCACTGATGACATTGGCAAGTGCCAGCCGTGCGTAAATT